AAATTTCCAGCGTGAGCATTCAACTTGATCGCCAATTGTCAAACGGAGTTCGTAGCGCAAGATCAGGAGAGTACAAGGACAAAGCAGGGAGAGTATCAACTGCACATAATCCGGTAGCCAAACTATGTTCTTAACAATCATATTATATCGCAGGACCTAAATAAACTTAAGTTCCTTCTGAAGATACCAAAATCAGACATGTGGGGCACAACATAGACATCTCAGCAAATTGCAATGCAAGTCTCCCTTTGACTCGTCAATAATTCGTTTAAAACGCAAAATGAAGACATTGGTTGCATACCAGCAAATAAATAGTTAAACCATTGGTAACTTTTAATATAAAACGCATGTTTCTGATGCAATACAATAAACATGCAAGTTAGTAGGTTCAGGAGAGGTTGCAACTTTTGAAGGAAAATTGTTTCACATTAGAAGTAGGTACTGGAGAGGTCTGTATTTCATTGCACAATGAGCGACAATAAAGGGACCAACCAAACGATACAAATAAAGCCCTGATGTATTAAATCAAATCTCACTTACCATTAGCTGTGAAATGCATGATCACGATGGGAACGAAACTACTTCTCTCGTGGCATACCTAAAGGTGAAGGAATAACGCTATCAACACCACTCATCCTCGGGTGCTTACCAATCATAATTGATGCTCCGCATTCCACAAATAGTGAAAGATGCGGTGCAACAAAAACCAATTGGACTAGCACGGCGTTTATCGATTGTCCTGCAGAATTGATATGAGCCCCACTCATGAAAAGTTACCCATCTTCAACACCAAGCAGTGAGTGACAAACAACCAACTATCTCCCGAAAATTATTTCCAAAGGAAGACACACCTCCAAGCACACTAATTATTAAAGCAGAACATCATTAAAATAAGTGACCTAGCTACTACAACGGACAAAGGAATTTCAAGTAGGCTGATAAGCATTCCAAAGCATATGAAGAAAACAACCCAAAATGCCTGACGGATCATATATGGTGGAAGAACATTACTAAGCAAAACATATTGACCAGAGAAAGCTCTAACGACAATTATTAGCCCTCATATCAATTGTTGCAGACACACAGCAAAAGCGCATTCTTTGTACATCAGACATGTATTTAATAAAATCGAAAGATCGCGACTTTTCGATGCCGTTAAATGTACATTTTCTATCTATTCTTCGGTTGACTGCATATAAAGACCGTCAAATGTGGCAGTCAAGTTAACGGCATATGCATAGCGTTCAAGATCGAAATTGTTACTGGCCTCCTGTGAGAATATGACAGGATCGGCAGTAGCCTGGATCTCGTGAGCTTGCGTGACGAGACCTTGAACCTCAACTATGCATAACTCCGGCGAAACCTTGACAAAGACGGTGAGATAGTACGGGGTAGCTAACCTGAAGAGGTGATGAGAAGTTACACCTGACCTCAGTGCCATCCGCACATTGTAATGTGATTCGTTGACCAGATGCATCAACAGAAAGTGCTTTACCCAAAATACAAACTTCCCTATTCTCTAAACGTGGGATCAAAGCTCCAACAATCCTAAAACGTGGGCCGCGTTTTTCCATTTTCGATGCTTTCTTTCTAGAAATAAACAATATTTAACAAGCAGACTCAAGTAGCATTTAAAAAAGTACAACAGAAACGCTATCTATAAGACTTTGGTTTAATAAAATTCGAAAGCAATAACACTAGATCCTAAAGCCAAGAGAACGAAGACAGGCCAAGTGCGCTTCAATCAAGTCTTTGCAATTTTCTTCCCCGCGCTGCACAATACATTCGTCCCGTGCCTTTCGAGTGTCGGGGCATGCACAGCAAGGCTTCAGAGGTTTACCATCAGGTCCAACTGGAAACTTTTCACCGTCAAACATCACTGGAACAGGACAAGTGAAAAAAATAAGATACTGAACAAATAGTCATATATTGGTTCGAAAAAGAGGAAAAGAGCAGAATTAATGGATTTATTGGCGAGATCCGAATATTTGAGAACCAACGCGGACCAGAGTACTACCCATTGTAATCTAGACAATAAAGCATTAAGTGGTGATACCAAAAGAACACTTACAGCAGTTTCATAGTCTGAGGACATTCCCATGCTTAAATGAAGCGAATGTTTCGGTAAGCCCAGTGCATCACACACTCTATTTCTGCAATCGTACAGACACTAGAACTTAAATTGACAATAGAAACACCCACCGAAAAATCGGGATTAGGTCCGGAAATCTCGTCATATCCGTACCTTCCGATCGTCATTAATCCGCACAAATTAAGGTACGGACAACTACTAGAGACAGCTTTGTATAAATCGACAAGTTCCGAGACAACAACCCCACCTTTTTCTAAAACAAAGCTAACTAAAACAGACACGTTACGCTCCTCCCCGCTGGTGTTGACTTGGATTAAGACATCAAGAGGTCTGCTACACACCCTTTTCCAGGCATTGTCGAGTAAGTTTGCGATTTTGAAGCTGGATATGGTCTCCACCATGGCCAAATTTGGAACAGCTAAAAGTGCTCAACAAGGGTCACATTTACAAGCAAGCAGCTTCACTTTGTTAGACTGTAGTTTCCCAATAAAGTGCCATCGTATTTCCGGGCAGGCAAGCTTAAGCTAAAAAGTAGTGAGCAAATAAGCAACCACACTTTCTCGTTATTGCTTTTTTCAAACAACTCTTGGATCTAGAAGATAAAACATGAATTCCTAGACTACGTAGTTTTCTCCAAACACTTTTTGGCCAGCATCGTATGCTTCTATAACAAGTTCTGGAGGCTTTGTTTTCGAAACAGCAACTAGCTGCGGGTATGGTTGACCAGTATTTTCAACCTCCAGAATGTGGGCGTTAGCGCGATAAATACCTTCGCAAATGCTGCTTCAATTTTCCGCAACACTGAATCTAAATTCTTTGCTGTCGACATTAACTTGTGTCTCCTCCACGGAAACGAACTAGAAGACCACAAGAATACTCGAATCTGCCACGCATTGAATGAGTATATTGTAACCACTCTAAATTGTTCATCCACCATTAGTACCTTCAGATCAAAATAAATGTAATTACAATGACTTATTTTTACGTGATTATGTTGTTTATGTTATTGTATTTTTAAAAAATGCATATACATCTCGATTAGGTCAGAG